GCATCCCCCCCCGCAGAGAAAGCAGTCGGAGGGGTTTCTACTGGCTGAACAAGTTATTCTCATAACCAATTTTAGATCTCTTGGACGAAAGGAACAGCTGCACAGTTAACCCCCCAGCTACTGGGGCAGTCAATGCGGGCAGCAAGATTTCAGGATCTCAGAAGCACAGCAGGTACTACAGCTATCCTAGAGGTTAGAGCTGCAACGGCAGTTTGGATAGTTAGGAAGGAAGGGCTAGCAGGGGAGCAGAAAGGACCCACTGGTGCCCCCCAGTGGTCCTGACTGGGCACCAGCTACAACTCTAGGACGTTAGGGCAAGTCAGGAGGGGACACTGGACCCGGTTTCCAGCAGCTCTGCTTCGTCTTTGGCTGAGGTTTTACAATATCTATTCATGAAAGGGACGCTGGACCCGGTTTCCAGCAGGTGTAGCTCCCCACCAATAGATGGAGCCTCCCTGAGGGTACTAGAGGTGTCTGCTCCTACCAGCACCCCTAGTATCATCCAGGCTGTTCCTGAAAAAAAAAAAAAAAAGAATCAATGATACCGACAAAAACGCGGGTCTCAGTGAGGCACCTTTAATCAAAAACAGAGAGGGGCCTTATTGGCCTGAGCAAGACACATCTTGATTCGGCAAAAAAAAAGAGAGGGGAGGGGTTTGGAAGATGGCGCAGGTCCGGAAGCTGGTACGTCAGTGGCCCAGGCAAAACCTAGCAAATGTTGTGGGTGAAGTTTTCATTCATTCGGGCCTTTGTACTAAAAAAGTGTGAGTACTACATGTGTTTCTATCTCGTGTCTAGAATTTCCATTTCATGTACATAATTTTTGTTGCGCAGTTTTTTACCCCAACTGTTCATGTATGAAGCAATGGGCAATGGCTATAAATGGCCGATCATGTCCCTCCTTCCCTCTCCCCCTCCTTAGTTTTTGTTGCATAGTTTTTTACCCCAACTGTTCATGTATGAAGCAATGGGAAATGGCTATAAATGGCCAATCATGTCCCTCCTTCCCTCTCCCCCTCCTTCCCAAAGAAAAAGGCTAGGGTTTCTTTTGGTGCTCTCACTCGTGATGGCATATTCTTTGCCCAGCTATTCACCTTTGTTGTTCTCTTTTTTCAAAACCCACCCGTTGCGGACTGGGCCGGCTGCAGCCTTCAGAACCAGGTTCATCCTCTTCATCCTCATCACGGACAGGGGTAGTATCCTGGGATCTCAAGACCTGGCAGTCGCGACTATTTACAAAACAGGATTTTGCGCACTTGCATGCCATCTCCTCCCTTCTTTATGCTGGAAGCTTTTTTGTCATCGAGGGCCTCAACGTAGCCAGCATTCTGAGAACAGGTAACCTGTGGACGCCGCCAACATGGGAGATCGTGGAACCACTCGTTGTCCTGGCCATATTCTCACAGATCACTGGCATAATCCTGGCTTACCGTTTTCGCCGACCCGGAGCTTCGCAGACCACATTCGTCATGACGGCTACAGTCAGCCTCATGACGCTCATTGCAGCTCTCTCTCTCTCAGAGGCCTACCCTGAGTTCCTTCGGCAACCGGGTATCACACTGCTCATCTATGTGAGTGCATCTGCTGCGAATTTATACAGCGTGTGGCAAGCATGGACTGACAAGGAGGCCCTCGTCAAATCTCGACGCCTTGGACCCAGACACAGTGTCTCCATTTGGACCCAGATGGGGTACATTCTTCCACTGGTTGCAGGATTCCCCCTGCTGGCCATGGCATGCAAGGGAATGTTAACTGGCAGTGCAGAGTGGGCGATGGCTTACAATTCTGCTCACCCAGGGTTTTATGAGTTGTTGTTACACAGTGAGATGCTTGTATTCATGTCTGGAAGCTTCAGCACATTTGCTGTTACGTTAAGGGACCGGCGCCTCATCGGCTGGGTCCTGGAGTTGGCCTTGATTACTCTGTCTGCAAATTGCTACTTTTTTTTCGGAGCATGGTGCTGTCTGTACGAATGCCGAGACTGGCTTCCCGGGTTTATATATGGCATGGCCGACCTCCTTGGCCCAATGCCATCCCCGTAGGAAGGAGGAGAGGGAGGGGTGGAGGGACGGAGGGATGGAGGGATGGAGGGATGGAGGGAAGAAGGTGCATATTCCTGGTGTGTAAAATATGAAGGCACGCATGATGTCAGGACTATAGTGGGGACACAACCAGGGGGTTGGTCAAGGGATCCTTGGAATTCTTTTATTGAAAAAAACTACCAGCTCATGGTTGAGGTACGAATCTACAGGATAAACAGTTGACATCAACTTCGGGCGGACAGTGGTTTGAACCCGGTCCTATGAAAGCTGGTGGTCCGGTTGGGGGGCCTGACGAAGTTCTGGAGAATGTGGGGGACGTACACGGGATGTGAGGAAGCGTGGAAGTTTGACCCCTGCCTCAGAGTCAGGGGAGCAGGTGGGGGGCCTGCAGAATCTGAGAACTGCGGGGGTGAGTAGAGGTTGTCTGTAGACTGCAAATGTGTAGCAGTAGGAGTGCGCGCTATGTCCACAGGTTGGTGATAGGGCTGTAGAGTACAAAAGTAGTAGGATAGCAGTGGGATTCCAATTGGATAGCTGTAGATTTGTCCTGTGTGCTGAGTGTTGAGGGTTGCTGTTGTGCGGGTGTGTGAGGTTGTGCGATTGTCGGGGAGTGCTTGACAATGTGTGTAGATTGTTTAGTGGCCAACTTGCTGTGCTGGGAGTTGCATGTGTACATGACGGACAGAACAAGTGGGAATCGAGCGTGAACAGTATGAACAGACTCAGGGTGTGGGCGTGAACTGTGGGGATGCAAAAAAACAAGTACTAGGGAGACTTTTGAAGGATGCTGGTTCAAATGGGCGTAGACAGTTTTTTTTTTTTTTTTTTTTTTTTTTTTTTGGGTTGAACCACCACTACCTTTCAGAGGCAAACACATATGCATGCGCTCTCTCCCATGTCTGAGTCGTTGGCCTGGCAGATTAAGGATCTAGCTGTCATCTATTTGCGGAAGCAGAAAGGTCGGAATCAGCCTTTGCTTCCGAAAGTGGGTTGGTCGAAAGGTAATCCAGAGGCGATCGCTGTGGGGACTTGGGTTGCTATCTCCTCAGCTGCAAACACAGGCACTGGTCACAAAGTGGCCAATTCGCTACCTTTTGGCCCCTCGTCAGGTTACTTGGAAGCGTCTGGCCACTTGGATACTTGCTGAGGACTTTGATTTGGACCGGTTGGATGTTGTGCAGCTTGCTTTGCTTACCCCCTTTTACTGTCGCAAACGGGTGCAATCTAAGTTGCGGCAAACGGGTGCAATCTAAGTTGCGGAGAGACATTTTGAAGGAGTGGCGGAAAGCTCTGCGGTCTCGTTATCCGCCGGTGTTTTCTTATGATCGACTGCTTCTTTTTTTTTTTTTTTTTTTTTTGAAGAAACAACCCGAAATGTTGCTAGAGCCAACCTATTTTTGATGCTCCTTACATTATTGGCCCGGACGGACGGCCTCTTGCGTTCTCTGGAGTGGGGGCATTTGGTGCGGCTTGGTTTGGCCGCGGTATTGCTATGCTTGCAGACTTATGGGGAAGTTATGGGACTTTCAGAATTGGACCTGGAAGTCGGTGCAGCAGTTGGCTCCGGCCTTGCATGGACTAAGGAGTCAAGTTCAGTCAACAACAACATTTATCTTGCGTTTTGCTGGCTATAGCTTCGGAGTGGTGGCGCTATGTGGTTTAGAGATAAGGCTCAGACCTTCCGGTCCTGCCTGTGGAGGCTGGTTGCTGGGGAGTAAAAGATGGATACACAGGTTTGGGTTCTCTTCTTGTTCCCTCTTTGGCGATTCCTGTCCCTACAACGTTGGATGGAATATTGCCTGTTTGCGTCGCTCAGATGAAGGCCGCTTCTGCTTTTGATTTTTATCCTTTCTCTGTCTCTACCCCCGTGTATCAACTTCTTTTTGACCCGCGGGACTGGTATTGGGTGGATCCTGTTACGCCGACCTGAGTTTGTTTGCCTTTGGACTTCACTGTCAAGCTTGCCTATAACTTGATGTTGCCGGCGGAAGATATTCCTGCTCATGTTTTAGCACATTGGCAGCAATTTGGTTTGCGTCAAGGAATGCAGTATTAACTGTTTTAGCTAAGACTGAAGCAGTTTTGGATTACCCTCCTTGCGTTGCCTGTTCCTACGCACCCTGGGATATTATGGCTCACAATGCACGTCGTGGCGATGCCCACTGCAGCATGGGTTTATCATCGGGTGCGTCGTGGTGATCCATATTCTAGATGTTGTCCATATGTGAGTTTGTTGCCTTATATTACAGCCTTTATGGCAGGGGCTTGGCACGTTTGCCAAGCAGGCCCTTAGGGCCCTGTAATGTATGGGATATTGATCAAGGGTGTATTTTGATAGCGGAGACAGGGGGGGGTTCAGGATTTTGATTCTCCATCGGTGGCGGCCCGACTTCTTCGGTCTGTTTTCAGGATTTTGATTCTCCATTGGAGGCGGTCCTCCTTTTTCAGTCTTTTTTCAGTCTTTTTCCAGAATGTTGATAAGCG